TATATATATATAGTGAGTGAACCCACTTCTCTGGGTCACAAACAGCCATATCAAGTGATCTGACAGCTTTCAGAAACGTTTCTGCTGGGTTGTTGGAAAATGAAGCTCTGCTTGAAGTGAATGCTGAACATCCTCTTCTCCTACTGGCCGCTTGCCATGTCACTCATCCAACAGCAAACCAGTAAAACCAGGCTGTACTCTGAGACAGGAAATGTGATGTTAAAAGCCGACTTGCTTACATAAGAAACACATCTTTCAATTGAAAGACAGGGGCATTGCAGTAGATCAAATTCTCCTCAAGCAGTGAACAAAGAGCTTGTTTGACTTACGGCGAGGAACCCATATATTGGCATACTTGGACCCATCAACATAATCAGTTTTGACAGACATATTCAGTTTGACAGACATATTCCGTCTAATATGCAGACACACACCCAAAATACATATATACTTGAACTTACTTGAACAGGAGCATCATCATCCACCATGGAGTCATCCTAAAATGCAGGAAAATATGTTATTGCCATCATGTTAAAACAGCATTTGCAAGGGCTATGATCACAATATGTCAACTATAACCAAAAAAATAAAAAAATGAAGTGATCTTCAGGAACAGAAAAGATGTACAGGAAATCACAACCACAATCTATTAGGGAAAGAAGTTATATTTAAATGACTGTTGCAAACCTCTATTACTGTCATTTGCAAATATAATGGCTCCGTGAGGGCTAATGACTATGTGCAACGTCAAATCATCTGACCACATGTTGACATGGGAGTAAAACAGCAGTGTGGAAGATTGTTGTTTACATACAGTCAGTCACAGACTAAGTGATTATTTATAGCTCCACGCATAAACGGGGGACGTAGCATGCAACGTAGGATGGCTATTTCCAGACCACAGGATTAGCCTGGACCAAAGGAAGTTAATTAGGGAAAGAGTAGGACAGGACGGAGTGCTAACAGTATAAGAGAGACAATACCAGTTACTATTTAGCAACTCGGACGAAATATTTATCCTAAAGGCAACAGCACGTATAATCGTCTCCTGGAGTAAGCAGGGGGTTGGTGCCATACTGAAAGTTATTAAATGATCATTATAATATATACTCTAAATAATTTATGGATCGGTTTGAAAACCATTAGATCATTTGATTATGATCGATTCTGACACTTACTACACAAACTGTATCTTTTTGCATGACATAACTGCTTGCATATTATATATTTTAGTATTTAATCTATTCTCTGTTTAAAGTTGAGTACATGGAATATTTATACAGTATGCGCACTACTGTTTAAAAGGCTCACCAAGGCTGCATTCATTTGATCAAAAGTACAATAATATCGTAAAATATTACAATGACTATTGTCCATTTTAATATATTTTTATTATATATTTTAATGAATATTAAATTTACTCCTGTGATGGCAAAGCCAAATTTTCAGCAGCAATTACTTAAGTCGTCAGTGTCACATGATCCTTCAGAAAGAATTTTAATATTCTGATTTGGATAATATGCATACTTCTGTGTATTTTAATTTAGGATTAGTATGGCCATTTAATGAAATTGTATATTTAATATCTCATCCAGATAATTTTACAATTAAAAAAGTGGTTGGGGGGGGAACCTAAAAGTAACCCAGACTAAATCTGAACACATACTAGGGCTGCACGATTAATCGCATGCGATATTTAACGCGCATCTTATCAGTAAAGCCGGTTCTGTAATCAGCGTAAATCTCCATCACCTGCGGGCTTTCACATTGAGCAGCATTAACTACACAGAGCCGTTGTTCACTGATGAGAAGCGCAAAAAATCGCGCGAATATGAACGTGGTTTAGCGCAGCTCGTCAGTGAACAACGGCTCTGTGTAGTTAATGCTGCTCAATGTGAAAGCCCGCAGGTGATGGAGATTTACGCTGATTAATGCGCGTTAAATATCGCATGCGATTAATCGTGCAGCCCTAACACATACAGAAACATACAAGCCTGCAGGGAAAATAGTGAAAGTCTAAATGGATCAAATTCCGATTAGAGGACAAACGACAGTCCAGGTCCAGAATGCAAAAATGCAGTTGTTTCATAATTTATGAAAACAAATAACACTTTGGCCATGACTCAAAACCTAATGGACCGTCTACCTACACAGACAGTATTTGGGGTTATCATAAACTTGTGTTTTGCACATTTATGGCATTTTTTTGGCACGCCTATGACGCCCAAAAATGCTGGTATGTTGGGAGCTCACTGGATTTTGAGAAAATGCCTGTCAGTCAGTCTATAAGAAGGCAGTTCCCCACCCTGTGTTTATTACCCAATGTGTACTTAAGTCAAACTTCAACCAGCTACAAAAAGCAAGCAAGTGTCCATTTTAAGTTACAATGCACAAGTAAACTGAGATCGAACAGACACACACACACACACACACAAACAAACGTACTGGGCTTGTCTGGTCAAGTCTTGCTTCGACGATTTACTCATTCTCTAGTTTCGCCACAGTTAACATTTAAAAGAAACTCTTCATAACGCTTTTAATACTTCGCTGCATTTTTATCTCGATTTATAACTATAAATCACGCACTTTTCTGTATCACAGTTATGAGTTTGAAAAGTAGCTAAATTCGAAAACGCAAACCTTTTGTTTGAATACAGTGTTTGCAAACTGTAAACTTGTAACGTTAGTCCAAGAATGCACTTCGAGACTGTACACTGACATTCCTCCGTGACACGAAGTATCGGATTAAATGCGATCTCACAGAATCTAACAACACTCCTCGATTAAATAAACGTGATATAACCTACCTCATTCTCCATATGCCCCACAGGCAACTTCTGCCAGGGGTCTGCAAACTGCGCCAGCGGCATCTCGAAGTCCCGATCTGTAACTTGCGATCACCCCGTGAAGTGATTTGACTGTCAGTCACTGTAAAGTTGCACTAAAAGAGTCCCGCAAAGAGTATGGTCCCTAACTGACGCGCAAACAAAAGAAGAACTCGGTTCAGCTGCCTTCTGGGTAGGTTTTACTTCTAAAGTGTCCGGCTCCTCTTCAAAAAAATATTCTAAAGATGTTTTTAAGAGCAGAGTAATACACTTCCGTTTTCGCTCAACATGGCGTCGTCGCTCCGTTCACCTGTCTGTCAGAACGAGGCTGGAGCAAACGTCATCATGCGTCATAGCGCGAGGGACGCTGTGGACACCCACCCTGTACATTGGTGCTCAGGTAGTTTAATGGAGTCAACAAGGAATGATATCTTGAGATATTATATCTATTCAATCAGGGCCTTTATCATTTCGACTGGTTTTTGAACAACGCATGTTAATCACATTGATTGGAGCTTCCTCGCTTTGTGCTTCATTTCTGATTATCATTCATGTAGAGCATTCTGTCTTTAAATCCTTTGGTCACTAAATCAGTTTAAATCTCTTTTCCCCGCGTAGCATCCGCGTGTTTTCATTTATTATGTCCTTCATAAGAAAAGCACACATGTGACACTTAATAAATGAAGTGCACAATCAAACCACTGCAGGTGGAGGGGAATCACAACACCACAGCTTATAAACACTCATCCAGCAGTAGCAGAGGGCTTAGAATAAAGCTGATTTGAGGATTGTGCTTTATTCTCACTCTCTGTTTTTGATGAGACCCAGTTTATGTGTGACCCATTTCTCTAAACCACTTCGATTTATGCTTTGTTTAGTGTGGCGGTCATGTACTGGGTAAAAGGCAAAAGCAGCATATTTCTACAAATAAAAGAGTTCATTCCTTGTTCACTTGCCACATTAAAGGGAAATGTTTTGTCATGGTCCCCTGAGTATTAATAGCTGGGAGAGCTCCCCAATATATGCCGTCTTTAACCTTGTAAATCCTAACATAGAAAACAAAAATAGTAAAAAAGAAAAAAAAATAATAATTTTAATGATACAGTATAATGCAAATTTAGACAAGACATTTTTTTTTTTAATGTTTGCATGTATGTTTTGTGTCCTATTTGATACACACATAGAACACATAGTGTGACACAGCTCTCACTCGAGGAAGAAATAACACCGCAATTTTACTCAAAGGCCCAAAATGAATGAAAATATGTAATTTGCAGATAATACTTATATGATAAAATATATATTGTGTGTGTGATACTTTTTAACTTGATGTATGTTAGAATATAAAAACATAAATGATGTATGGATAATCAAGTAAAACCAAGCTGGTTTACTTGAATGAGAAAAAAAAAAGATTTCACAGAAAAAAATACACATTTAACACAATCTGAAGGGTGACGTTTTTAGAATTATACTAAAAGGCCTTTTACTTGCTAAAAAGTAAAAAAAACTATCAACCAGATGCGAGAAGGCATGTAGTAGATCATGTAAAACAGGTTTTTCACCATGTTTTAACCATGCTTAGAAATTCATGTATCAAATGTTCTTTATATAGGGTTAAGGACTGTATCAGTTTTCATTTAACTATATCTTTAACAAATAGTAGAAGAACATAAATGCATCTACTCACAAAGATTGTATTTGAAATATTTATTTGTAGTTGTATGACACATACAAGTCCACATTGTATGACACATACATTGCCTGATCATGTTGACTCATCCTAGTCAATGCGGCATAAAGTTTTAACCTTGTGATTCTGATGCCCCCTTTAACATCTCAACCGCATCCTAACATCTATTGCAACACTTTTTGACTTTCTCTATTTAAATTTTTACTTTCCTGATTCTCAGAGATTTTAAACATTCTTTTAAAACAACTATTAATACACTGGAATTGCCAAACGTGAATATCCCCAGTAACATTGTTTGTAACAAATGCAATTTCTCATAATAAATACATGAATAACAAAAGTCCTGTTTTAAATAAAAATTGAAGAGTGAGAGGGTAAAAATCTATTAATCTTTTCCCATTCTAAAGCCACATTTTCAGCTGTTTATTTTAAATCTTGTTTTATTGCTGCGTTTTATTAAACACTCAAACACTCCGAGTGTTGGAAGAGTGTTAAAATACAACCGAAATGAAATATTCCAAAAACTTTTGTAATATGGCCAGATTTATAATTTAGAAATGTCAAAACTTTTCCCTTTAAATATTTTGTCAAATTAGGACTGCATTTCAGACACCTTAGCCAAAACACACTCCTGCTGATATATAAAGTGAGAGAAGTGTGTGTGTGTGTGTGCGTGTTGACACAGAGCAACAATGGTAGGTGTTTGTGATGTATGGACATGAGCTAAATATTCTGCCATGGCATGGACACTGGGTAATAAGCAATAGGGGCATTGGAGACATTTGAAAAGTCCCGATAATTCAAAGTTAAATACCGCTATGTTGTTGATTGATGAAGACAACAAGAAAACAAGGCAATGATAACATGTGAAATGAGGCAACTTATCTCAATGTGGCTGAGAGATTTGGCTGAGTTTCCCAATAACTGTCTATGAAACCTTTAGCCACATCAGAGGTGATCATATTTTGCTGTGCGCTTCAACAGGAGAGGGTGTACTGGTAGGAAGAGGAGGGGACTTGGGATGATAAGGAAGGCGATTTAGCTGACGGACTTGAGCTTGGTCCAGGGGTTGGTGCCACGCACTTCCATAGGAGGGTCATTGTAGAAGATGTGGTTGCAAAGATCATCCAGTGGAGGCTCAGGGTCTGTGGTGGCAAACTGAGCGGCATCTTCAATCTCCTTCCTTACCGCCACATCAATCTCCTGCAAAAGGTGTCAGTGTTTAGTGAAAGTGCAGAAATGTCCATCTTTCAGCATGAAGAATTACTTGGCCACACGTCCTTTCCTTTCCTATAATTGAGTAATCCCCTATCTTAACCACCAATGTGACTGACAGTCACTATCTCAGTGATTGTGTCCTACTTCAGTCTGTCTCTCGTAAGCTTCTGCAGGCTCACCTTAAGCTCCTCCACGCTGGCCATGTTGTTGCTCAGCATGCGATCCTTCAGCATCGAGATGGGGTCACTCTTACTGCGCACCTCCTGGATCTCATCACGTGTGCGATAACTATGGGAACAGTGGATAAGGAAAGCAAAGGTTGTCACATATGGGGAGGAGCACTAACAGAAGAACAAACAGGAGTCTCTGTTAGTGCAGAGTTTCACAGTCAACATAGGCTATGGCTTTTTAACTAGGTTTAAAGGAAAAGAGCACTTTTAGATAAACAAGGCAATAATAGATGGCACTCGTGGAAGTAGGAAAGCAAAGTTCTTTATGAACCGCAGGATTGCTAGTAATAAATAATTACATGCAAAAGAAAAGGCAGTAGAGCTGACTGTTTCTGTCAATGGTAAGTTTTAATTTAGAATGTTTGTGATAATGTAAGAAAAGTAGTTTAAATTTTTTGCCACTTGCTTGAGCAACTTAATATATCAATCTAGAAGTAAATGCAAAATTAAAAGCATGTGTTTCTTATATTTATTGTGTTTAAACACATCTATGAAAAATTAAATTAGCTACTGCACTGTGTAAAAAAAGAATCACAATGCTGAAAAAGCATTTTAAGTAACAATGTTTGGGTTAAGTTTTTTTTTTTTTTGGAATTGATACTTTTATTCAGCAAGGACAGAAAAATTTATCAAAATTTATAGTAACGACATTTATAATGTATCAAAATATTTCTATTCCAAATCATTTTGAATTTTCTTAAGCATCTTCTCCACAAATAATTAATTATTAAATAATACTCTTTTAAACATTGAATAAGAAATGTTTGTTGATTACCAAATCAGTAATGGCTGATGAAAATTCAGCTTTGCCACCACAGATATAAATTACATTTTAAAATGTATTACAATATTAAAATTGTTTTAAATTGTAAATTGTTATTAAAATTGTAATAATATTTCACAATATTACAATGTAGACTTGGTGAGCTTAAAGGAACACTCCACTATTTTTGAAAATAGGCTCATTTTCCAACTTCCCTAGAGGTAAACAGTTGAGTTTTACCGTTTTCGAATCCATTCAGCCGATCTCCGGGTCTGGCGGTAGCACTTTTAGCTGT